AGATAGATGCCATATTCATGCCCATAACTTCTCTTTTGTACAGATATTTGGATTTTAATAGTTAGAGGGAAGAATAATTATATGCATGATTATGGTCCTAGATTAATTCTCTCACCTAATCTGACTCAAAGAGAAGGCAGCAAAGTCCTTTCCTCTTTGCCTCTTACACTGAGTTAATAACTTCTGAGATCCTGGCATGAAAAAATCTGCATGTTCCTTTTCAAACTTCAGGAAGTACATCAGTAAATGAAAATGCTGCTCGTCACCTTATTTCAGTGGATTTTTCCATCCTGGTTTCCCATGCTGCCCAAATTTCTCCAATAAAGATCAGCTTTTTACCATCACCTTGTGCCCCTGACTCAGGATTCACTGTCTTCCTGGCCTTAGCTATCAGGGCCTTAATGTTAAGACCTCATTTCCATACTGAGCAAAAACCCAGAGGCAGAATTCTATTAAATGCAAGGAGACTTCACTGAGCTCCCACAGAACAGCAGCTCTGTGAGTGAGGAGAGAAGCAGGCAATGGGAAAGTGGCCCTCCAGCCCAGCTCTGAAGACTCAAGGGTGCCATGCGCTCCAGTCCCTGCTGCCATCATGAACCGGAGAGTGCTCTTCCGGAATGTGCTGCTCTGAAGGGGCCCCTCCATCTTCATCCCACCCGAGAGAGAACAGCCAGTCTTGCGTGCAGTCTGTCCAGGGGGATGTTTCTCTGCCTGAAATTACAGATTCAGAACTGTGTGGAGAACATCTCAGGGGCAGACCCAAGGCAGGGGAGCTCACCAAATAGTACTGACCCAGGGTGGTTCTGGCCCTCACTGCCCTCATGCTGCCGGGCTCCCAGAGCCGGGTTTGGTAGCTCACCCTGGCACGGGGTGTGTTCGGGTTGTGGATGGCAACACACTGCGGCACAACACACAGATCCCTCCCTCTGCGCCTGCAAAGGGACTGTAAGGACGCCTTTTCCCTGGGAAGCTGAACGTACCTCAGTGTGAGAAGTCATCTTGGTCTGCTGACATAAACAAATATACGCGTGTGAATATGTGTGTGAATGCGTATATATATAGTGCGTATGTGTGCGTGTGAGTGTGGGTGTGTTGATTGAGGGAGTGAGCGGCTACCCTGTCTGCTACAGAGTGCTTATCTCAGGAGAAGGGCCATCTCAGCCAAGCTAATATGAATCATGATAACAAACCCCCAAATGAATAATGGCTCAAACCCAGTGCACATTGATTTCTTCCTCATGGAAAGTCCAAACACGTTATCTCTGATCCACAGGTAGTATCCTTTCCATTGGCAATTCGGGAACCCAAACCCCTTCTACCCTGTGGCTCTATCTTTAACACGTGGTTTGCAAGGTTGCTCTGCTCAGTTGGCCGCATCAAGCCAGTGGGAGCGGAAAGAGCATGGCACCCTCATGCTAAAGATGGTCCTGGGCCGAGAGAGACACCGCTTTTGCTCTCACTCCACTGGCTAGAACTAACCATGTCACACGACCACACCAGCTGCAAAGCAGGCTGGGAAATGCAGTCCAGCTGTGCGCCCAGAGAGAAGGGGGAATCCATTCCATGACAGTTAGCCAGTTCCTGCCACAGGGGCAAAGCAGAAATACAGGGCTTGTCCTGCATTCTCACAGAGCCGATCACCTTGTTAGGAAAGTAGACCCTATGCATGGGAGCAATTCATCAGTCACGCCCCTCAGGTATGGTCAGAATGAACCAGGGATCTACCATCTGGCTGGGTGTGGAAGCCAGTATGGCCTAGAGATGAAGGGTGGTCTTAGGGAAAGGTTTTTAACGCAATCCTGCACGATGTGCAGGGCTTAGGTGGGCAGGCAGGAGCAGCGAGAGTGTACCATGTGAAAATGGACAAAAGCATCAGCTCAGAAGTGAGAGGGACTCATTCGGGAGACAATGAAACCAGTCTGCCAGGAAGGGAAGGGTAGACTCTTCTCATCAAAGAGCCCATTTGAGCGAAGAGATCTCACTGACCTCTGCTTAGGAAATGTGTGAGGCCGGGAGTCTTGATTTCTAAGACTGAGTGGAATCTCAGTTACGGAGATAACGTAAGAGGTGATATGAGGTCAATTTCAAACCTATACTGAATAATCTGGCTACCTTTCATGTCTAAATGTTAAAAAAAAAATCATGTCTCAATCCAAGATTCCTCTAGCTTTTCAGGTTAAAAATTCTGAGTTTGAATTATTTCAGGTGAGAGATGTTATCCAGAGGGACACTGATAGTGAACATGAACTGTAGGTAGATACGTGCTGAGAATTTTCTCTTTAAGGAGGTAGACTTCTTTCAAGAGGTCACAGCCTTATCCTGTCAGTTTTACTCTTTCTGACAATAGCTTTACTTAAATTCCCCATGTATACATTCTACATACTTTGCATCGAGCCCTTTATTAAGCACAGATAACATCACAGGACCAATTTGAAAGGGATGTGCTTATTCTCTTGCACACCCCATAGGTGTGTGTCTGTTGGAATATATTTATTATAATATAACACATACCTATACATGTGTGAAAATATAAGCCTTTCATAAAAATTCTTATTTTAAGGTGGTGTAACACCATCAGCAAAAAGGAAGTGGAACATCTCTGAGCTTGTGAGCTTTCATGGTTATTTAAAGCAAGTTGTGCGGAAGGATGGTGTTTACCTACCATTTTCTTGCCTGTGGCCTTAACACAGAAATAGATTTTGTTTTCCAAGTCATTTTGTATTTGCCTTACATATGTGGAAACTGTAACAACAGAGAATTCACGTGTGCCTTAGCATTCAAGAAATTGCCTACCATCAACTCTCAGTTTTGGCAAGTAATTGGTGTAAGGCTCTGTGAATTTCAGTGTAATATCTTACCTATTCCTGTTTCTGACTATGGCAACTCCTCTCCCTACCTGTGGGGTAGGTTAAGGAGCCACTCCCAGCCCTCTGTCACCAGCAAGGAATCTGAGGCAGATTCAGTTACATTCCCAAGACCTGGTAACATTCGTGCCTTAGAGAGCTGGAGCTAATGTCTCCTGGCCCCTTGAGCCAGGACCTGTCCCATCTCCCACATACTGTTACTGACTTCAACTGAGGGGAACTGAGCGTTTGGCTATACATTGCTAAAATATAACATCATCTAGGAGGATGCATTTATACATACATATATTCATGCAGAAAGCAAAGGATGACATCATATATTTGATGAGTGAAAAGCAACCATGAACCAAATTACCTCAGATGTCTAATCAAGAAGAACTCTTCCCTAAAATCACATGACATACCACTCAAATTCATCATTTCTTTTCTTGAATGTCATTTCCTATAACTTCTTGGACTGTTGGCATATTGATAAGTGGTTCCTTAGGTCTCAGAACATTATCATTCTTTTGGCACTCTCTCAAACTTTAAAACCTGTGTGGGTGAGAAAAATATAAAGACATCTTTCCTTTAGAAACTACAATACTACTCACTGAGTATTACCCACTGTGACTGTTGTCCCCAGGAGACTCAGTTTCTAGAGGGAGCTTGGGGTAAGGATTCTAAAAATCATGTAGAAACAACATCCTGATTCTAGTTACCTATCGATGTCTTAGCTCTGCTGGAGTAATTAGAACTTTCAAAACAACAGGCAACCAGGTTAAGATTTAGGCCCATTTTGGTGAAAGTACCCTGCAAACACAGACTGAGGGAAGTCCAAGTATTGGTCTGAAGCAAATAGTGATTTAGAGCTTCACTTGGAAGAAGGAGGATGAGCCATAGCAGAAAAAAATGTCTTTGCTCCTGCAGAGGGAGGCAACACAGTCCTACCTCAGCGCCCTCCCTCCCTCCCTCGGCCACTGAAGGCATGTCTGTCAAGTGACCATCCAAGCAAGTACACAGGGCTCTCATGCAAGTTCAGGCTATAAGGAGTTCAATGGAGAATGTAGCTAATGTGCCTCGTGTTAGTGGAGTTTATGGTCTTTGCTGACAACATGGTGTGTCTGCGAGGACAGAGGGACGCGTGGGGCCACCCCTGTACTCCAAGATGATCCTAACATTAATTAGTGGCACAGAATCTGAGACGTTTCCTGGATCAACATCAGTATGCAGCAGGGCCTTTCCAGGAAGAGAAAGGACAAGTAAAACTTTGCAGAGGTGAGGGAGGCACGCTTAGCTACATTATTTACTTACCCAATTCGATTTTTTAGTGTCTGAAGTCACAAAAGTTGTAACCAAGACAAACCAGGCTACAAGTGCCATTTTAAAATGTCATCAGACTAGCAGAAACATTAGACATAAATCAAGAGTTTTATTGTATTTGCAATTAAACAGATCAAATTTAATGTCCACAGAAAAGCTTTAAGTAATTAGTATGAAGATTAATATAGTGAAATGTCCCTGGTTTAGCAGGCCTCCCAAGCAAAGCTGAAATAAAGAACTGGTTATATAATCAAATAGCATGTGAATATTAATGCACAAAATCCTCCAAGTCCCCAGATCCCAGATGCAATTATTTTCTATTCACATTAATTGTTCCTAACAGATGACATTAATGACTTTGAGTTAAAATGTGTTCAAGGGAAGATTTTACAAGATCAATGCTATTTAGAAATAAGGTCACTTTTATAATTATTTGCTCAGATTTTAACCACTGCTCAACGTAATAAGGTTAACATGGTGATTGTTTTCTAATGTGGATATCAAAAGTTAATTTTCATACCAGCTAATAAGTGTATTGGATAATTTATGTCTTTCCTGCTACTTATTTTCCACCTACAACTTACTTTTTCCTACTACTTATTTTCCAGCACAGACTGACAAATTGTGAGAGCGTGATTATTATTTATAAGCTCGAGTTTGCGTGTGTGTGTGTGTGTGTGTGTTGCCAATAAACTAGAATAAACTTTTTGGATTAGGCTATGTATTATCTAATCTAGAAACGTCAATTCCTTTGAGATTTAGCTGTCCAAGGCAGGATTTTGAAACAAACAATGAAGTCATCGCTATGCTATATTTCTGCTTGTTTCCACCTAGAAACTTCACTCACGCATCTTAGATCTTTCATCCGGAGATTTGCTTTCAGACATGGAAAGAAGCCGAAGTCTGACGCAGTCACGGACTGATGTTGAGATGCATGTGAGTCTCCCTCCTGCCTTCAGATCACTTGTTTAGGTTATTTTCCTTCCATCAAATATGATGTCACAAGTGAACCATAAAGCACATCCTTGAAGCATTGTCAGGCAGATAAAAATACCTCCCTTTCTTGTGTTCTCTGAAATTCAATATCATGTCCCCCAGCTGATAGAGTAAGCAGAAAGTGTCACTCCCAGCAAAAATATCATAAATCTTTGCTTTGTCCCCAAGATACCTTTTTGGGTATTGATTACATCTCAAAGTCTCTGAGAAATGGTCAAGGAGCTTTTTATTAAAGCCCATGTCCTATATTATTCATCCTACTTTTATGATATATTATGTATGAACTTTTAAAAATTCATGGGCTGTACATTTTTTTCCTTTTGCTAGGTTAGCTTTGTGCTTATTTGGCAAAACTTCAAGCACCGTGGCTTTTAACTCTCATCAACATAAAGCAAGTAACTTGGAAAATACAAGAGCCAAGAAAATGTGTAATGAAAAACATTAGGCCTAAAACAATGACGGATGAACATCTGTGGATAATTGGCTTTTGATTTTACTGTACAATTTTATCAGTGTAGATAGGATATTCTATATCAAAGGTAAATATTCTCAGTTTAGATTGGAATTAAATTTCAATGGAATGCTGTCACTGTAAACATTCATGAAGACCATAATGGTGTCCAATCTATCGTAGGGCCTTAAGGTCAGGAATTTTTTAAGTGTGCAGTAGTTACCCAAGAGACTCTTGCCATCATTCTCTCTGTCTCTCTCCTTTTTTAAACTAAAATTGTGGATTTTGTATTACATTTCTCAATAAGGATGTTAAAGCCTATGAGTCACCCAAGGTAGTGATCTAAAACACACAATGAGAAAAATTCATTTCAAGTAGTGCAAACAGGGGGTATTTTGCCGTGAATTCCACGTAGTAAAGATAATGTTACAATAGAAACCACTATCCATTTTCTTGGGCAGAGAATAAGTTTAATAATAATCATTATCTGTTACAAATTTGAACTCTTCCCAGTTGGGTGCTTGGTGGTCAGTGTTCGTCCAGTTCTGCTTGTTGTGAAGGCCTTATTTGTGCTATGGCAGGGGAGCTAGAACCTGGGCCCAATATTAGAATGTTGTACTGGCTGGGGGACCTTACGTAAGATCTTAATGCCTCCGTGCCTCAATTTCCCCATCTGAAGAATAAGCATAATGATACTTCTTTTCTGTTTCTGAAAATTGTGTTGAGGATGACATGACATAACCCATAAAATGCTGGCCCCACAATGCCTGCTAACAACACTGGGGCAATAATAAGATCTCTGCTGTTTAGTCCTCTTCCGTTCTTCTTCAGACTTGGTACGGTGCCTCAGCCACATAACACCACAGCAGAGATGGGGAATGACACCAGACAGGTATCTGCTAGCATGTCTCTACAGAAACTCGCATCAGGACTTCCAGAAACAAAGCGCACCCGCGCTTTTGGCTGTTGCTCAGTCCTTTTCTGGTGTGTGAGGCATCAGACAACACTGGTATAGTAAGAACAATATGGCGTCTCTTAGGGAGACTGTAAACTTAGGATTTACTTTGAGAGTCAAGACACACGTATCTTAACAAAAATTAATAGTAGCAGCACCTGGATGTTACTAAGCATTACTATATGCCAGGGCTGTTCACATTCACAGTGATCTTAGGTGGTCAAGTGTTTTCCTTATCTCCATTTACAAAGAAAGAAATCAAGGCAAGGAAGGGTTATGTAACTTCCCCAAGGTCAAGGAGTTAGCAAGTGGAAGAGCCAGGATTTCAGCCTGGTACATGGCTTTAGAGTTCAAGCTCTCAGCCACAGAACAGTTAGCTCTTCGCTGGAGTAGATAATCCTGCTTGATAATATTGTGCTGATGAAGGAAACTGCAGGAAAAAGGAGCTCGCGTTGCAACCGTGATGTCTGAGGTCCTGGATCCCTTATTAAATTCAAACGCTGATTATTTAAGGTAGGGAAAATATAATGCCTTAGTAGGGAGGACTGGCCCTCTTCTTCTTTTTATTTTTTTTAAAGATTTTATTTTTTTAATTGAGAGAGAGAAAGAGAGTTACTGGGCCTGTCCATAAGCAGGAGGACAGACAGAGGGAGGGAAGAAGCAGACTTCCTGCTGAGCCGGGAGTCCAACGTGGGGCTCTGTCCCAGGATCCTGGATGAGCTGAGCTAAAGGCAGATGCTTAACCAGCTGATCCACCCAGGTGACCCTGGCCCTCTTCTTTGTAAGGAATTAGTCTGTAATTGCCCCAACACACACACTCTTTCACACACACACACACACACACAACACACACCCTCTCCCCAGTGCATGGCCCAGGGGTAGGCTTTGGCCATCCCCTTCATCCTGCTCCACACAGTCCCAATCAGGCTGTGAGGTGACACAACTCGCTACCAAATAACCCACATAGGAGGTAGACCTCTCTCACGGCTTCCCCTGGGGGCTTTCTACTCAAAGTCCTGCACCAGCAGCATCGAAACACCTGGGAATGTCCCCAAAATATGTCATCTCTGATTCAACTTCAGCATGGCTGAATCAGAATCTGCGTTTAGCAAGATCTCAGATGTTATGTGTGCACAGTGAAGTAAAAGAAGCCTACACGTCCCTGCTTACTAGCCCAACCCCATCTTCCTCTACACGACAGTGATGGGCCTTCCCCGCCTCCCCAAAGTATCCTTATCCCACCCGGGCAGCTCGCATTCACGGTCAAGGAAGAAGCAGCCGTTCCATGCAATACATGCCCTCCTTAATACCCACCACCAGGCTCACCCAACCCCTCTCCCCCCTCCCCTTCAAAACCCTCAGTTTGTTTCTCAGAGTCATATTGCATGGAACACTGGTTGTGGGCATAAACAATGAGTTTGGGAACACTGAAAAAATATATATTAAATTAAAAAAAAAAAAAAAAAGCCGCAGCAGTTCCTTCCTTTGCTAGCTCTGAGGTCAAATTTCCTGTCCTCTGAATCCAACATCATCCCAGAGGTACACACGTGGACAACAACTGGACAAGGATGCTTATGTGTAGAAAGAGGCCTGGGAATTGAGTTGAGTTGTAAGAACAGATATCATGTTGAGAGGTGGAGTGGGAAGGAACAGGTCGGGGAAGAGAGAGGGAAATCACATAAGCTTCAGTACTTTGGGGAAAGATGGAGCACGAGCTGTAACCAGAAGCCATGCAGAGCGTGAAAAGAGAGGGTATTTTCTAGAAAAGTTTAGATCTGGATGGCCTCTCAGGACACAGACACAGTCTCTCCCTGGAGAACAGACCTACCTGTCTGAGCAGTGGCAGTCCTAAAGGAAACCACCACCTCAGTTAATCAAACAATGAAAAAGGCGAGAGGTTTGGGGATGGCGGAAATGGAAAGCACCCAAGCAGAAGTGAAGTGTGATGTGGTACTTCTGAAAGCTGGTTCCGGGTGTGTGCAGGGGCGGGCGCGTCAGTGTCAGGCGAGCCCACGCACCGGCACCACTGCTTGTAGGCATCTGTCATGAGACAAATACAAACTCACCTTAACTAAGCCACATGCACCAATGAACAAGGTCGTAAATCAACAGATATTGCTGAATGCTCAATTTTAAGACAACTTTCTTCTTTCAGTGATATTCAGAGCCGGATTTTTAGCGGTTGGGGAAGAGAGTAGTAAAATTGCTTGGCATTCTTAGATCACTTAAAGGGATTGTTTTGCAGCAAAAATGAAGTATTGATAGCAGGCAGATGCCTGATATGAAAATCTAACTTTATGAAGCATTATGGATATTGATTAGAGGGGAAATTAAACATAGCCTCTGTACTTACATGGGAGGTTAGCATGTCCCCTGAGTACTCCCAGGATAGCACACTTTGCCTTCCTCGAACAGGTGTTTGGTCACCGTCAGCTGGAATTACATTTGGAGAATAGCGATAAGTACTCAGGTACTAAAGGCACTGGTAAAACGTCAATAAATTGCATAAGTAAGAAGCTTTGCCATTCTGCAAATGACACAAAGACAGATGGTTCCCCATCAAAGAGTTTCTGAGACAAGCTTTATATAGATAGGAGACTGGAATGAGGCCGTAAGGAGAGACTTTGTTCTTGTGATCAGGATGCTAAATTAATTTAGCTTGGCCAACTCTTGGAGCTTCATCTGTTACATTAAGAGCTGAGAAGGTGGCTGTCAAGATGTGCTGGGATGTTTACAACTTTGTCACCTGTGCCTCTACCCCCTAGAGTTCTAACCTCCTGGATCTTTTGTGTGGAATCCAAATCTACTCAATGTGACAGTTTTTATCATTTGGACAGCCAGCTGATATGAAAAGTTCTATAGCCTTTACAATAGAACCTCATGATTCCTCACTGGTGTTCCACTGGATATGGCTTCCTGGGCATTTGAGTCCTGATTTGGAATGATGCTGTCAGAGCCATAGGGGACCCTGGGAGTAATCTGGTAGAGCTGTTACCCCCTCTCCCCACCCACCGCAAAGGAAGACCCTGAGGTCCATGGAAGTTAAATGCATTCTTTGCTCAATATCTCATACCAGTGGCAATGTGACGTCCAGGTCCTTAGACTCCCAGTCTAGTGCTCATGCTCTTGAACCCTATAGCTAAAGATGTTACTCTTGTCTTTTTTTTTTTTTTAATATTTTACTTATTTATTTGACAGAGAGAGAGAGAGATCACAAGTAGGCAGAGAGGCAGGCAGAGGGGGGAGGGGAAGCAGGCTCCCTGCTGAGCAGAGAGCCCAATGCGGGGCTCTATCCCAGGACCCTGAGATCATGACCTGAGCCGAAGGCAGAGGCTTAACCCACCGAGCCACCCAGGCACCCCAGATGTTACTCTTGTCTTTATGTTTCTGGATCATTAGTCTTGTCTTGATAGTGATCTGATTCTTTGACCAATATGCCTGGTTAAAGTGGGAAGTTTCCATTGAGGTAATTCTGCCTAATGGTGAGGGCAGCTCACCTACTTAGACCTGGTACTGTGCTATACATTTCTGACCTGGAGCCCCATTTGGTCTTTGCAGTAACCCCATAAGGTAGTCAGTATTATCATTATTCACTTAAAAAAAAAAAAGTGTAGCTCTAAGGGATTAAATAATTCCTTCTAGTGTGTTAGTAAGAGGCAGAGCCAAGATTGGAACCCCTAGTCTGTCTGACCCAAAAGCTTTGCTTCTCACCACTGGGCTACCTTCGCTCTAATGTTAACTTGGTATCTGCTGTCCCCAAAGCAAAGCTCTCACTCAGAGCTCTCCTGCTTTTTTAGGAATGTCAGCTGAGTGCAAAATCAGGAGTCTCTGCTTTGAAATGCCCTGGTTTGGGGGTTGTCATCCCTGGTCGTCTCTGTTCTCGAAACAGCTGCAGCAGCAGTGAGCTGTCTCTTTCGAGCACGTGCAGCGAGTACTCCAGTGGCTCCTCCTACACATGGCATGATGGGAAGAACCTCAGGAAAAGGGTAAGGCCTCCTTTCAAGGCACTTGAGCATCAGAGCGAGCCAGAAAAGAATCCTCTTGCAGTCGCAAGGTGGAAGGTGGGTGGAGGGCTCAAAAAAGAATGCCCATTTGCTGAGAACCTGTTCATTCACTCCCCACAAAACTAGACACGGGGATCTCATTTCCTCCATTATATGGGAGAGGAAGCCTGTTCAAAAAGGTTAAATCGCTTGCCACAAGTCACACAGCAAGTGAGGATTGGAGGGATGATTTGACCCAAATGACTTGGATGGCATGGAAGGGAGTTTGAGGGAGGAAGAATTTTCCTTCTGTGCTTTGCTGGAGCCCACCAAACTCCTAGATTTATGTCAAGTTGGAACCTAGAGCCCCGGCCTAATGGAACTGACTACACTTCAGATCAACTCAGACATTTCCAATTAGTTTTATGGACACCCTCTATCACTGTGACGCTCAGAGAGACTTGTTAATGTCCACCACAAATGAGAGCGAGTGAGGCCACTTGCCAAGCCAACCAAGATGGAGCATCCCTTGAGAACTCAAAGAGAATCCCCCCCACCAGACAATAGGGAGGGTGGTGCATCAACTCAGAATAAATGACCAAAACTTTTGAAAGTATCATTAGCTTTGTTGGAATTTACTACTCAAGCATAGCATGTATTATATTGACCTCCTTTACTCAATTTTATAGCCTCATATAACACTAATTGACTATAAATTGGAGGGTGGTATGGCAGAAAAAGTACCGTGGTAGGTGACAGGGACCATGGCTTCCGGGTTATTAACTAAGTCCTGCTGCTCCACGGCTCCCATCTGTAAAGGGGACCCACACAACCGTAGATTCCTTCAGGCTCTGAACAAACATCTTTGGACACTGGGGAAAGCCAAGTGTTTGGAATAGCTATCTTTGCAGCTTCCTGATATTGAAGAAAAGCAGAGTACACAAGCATGGAAACCCTGACTCAGAAGGTTTGGAGGTCATTTTTCTATCATTCATGTAAACTCCATTTACGATTTGGAAGCATAGAAACCAGGAGGACTCTGTAACTGGCAGAGATAGTAGTGAGGGGGTAGCTTTGTTATTCTCTGAACAAGAACTTGGAAAAAAATTTCGAACTTGAATTCAGAGCTTATTCCCTTGGACTCAGCCTCCTGATACAAAGTGTGTATATTATTAGAGTTGTTCCTTCTGAGCAGATGTTCAAAGTTCTGAATAATGATTGCTGGGGCTTGACTCTTTTTTTTTTTTTTTTTTTTTTTTTTTATTTATTTGTCAGAGAGAGAGGGAGAGAGAGCGAGCACAGGCAGACAGAATGGCAGGCAGAGGCAGAGGGAGAAGCAGGCTCCCCGCCAAGCAAGGATGGGGCTTGACTCTTAACACACTGGGAAGCCCGGTCAGGGATGTTCGAGTCTTTGTGATTATAACTGGCTTCATGGCCGCTGCTCTCCTCTCTTGGTGTACCCCTTTTCCCCCGCTCCTTCTCAGAGCCTTTATCTTGTGTTTCTTTGCCTTGCTTTGACTTTCTTTTCTTTCTTTTTTTTTTCTCCTAATTTGAATAATCCTTGATCTTAAAAGGAAACCTCTTCCCTGAAAACGAGAAATTAAGTTTTTATTCACTTCGTGCACACTCAGGTTACCGTGATCTCGAGATGTCATAGGGAAAAGTCCTAGTTCTCAAGGACCCAGCAAACTGGATCCATTCCCGTAGAGGCATTTACATTTATATTATTTCAGGAACATCTACAGTGCTTACCATGTGCCACATACTTATTTAGTATTCACTTACATAATAAACTCATTGAATATGAACTTGAAGGGGACTACAATATTAACTTACAGAATAATAAATATATGACCAATGGTTCTTCTATAATTCACAGGTTTTTTTTTTTAATATTGTTCTGTATGGAAACAGAAAGGAAGCCTGCAGGAGATACATTAGGCTGCCCTACTTGGAGGAATCTGGGTCTAAGTCACAAGTACTTACCTGACCCACGCAGCCTTGAAAGTATTTCACAAGTATTAGCTCATTCAGTGCTCGTAAGAACCTAGTTAAATAGATTCCTCTAGTCCCCTATTATACAGATGAGAAAATGGAGGTGCTAAGAACTAAGTAGCCAGCCAAATATCTCATAGCTGGTAAGTAGCAGAGCTGGCTAGTTGGTTCCAGAATCACCCTCGCCATTCTGCTCTGGTGGCTTTGTTAAATCTGCCATGTTTGGGATGGATTTGTTATATTAAGACAAAGAATGTCCTTTAAAACAAAAAACAAAAAACAAACAAACAAACAAAAAACTGTGTAGAACTGTAGTTGACCAGTCCAGAAATAAGAAAGGACTTTGGGCATCAAACCCAGGCCACTGCTTTCCCAGGAGCACCCTTCAGCTAATTTCACCGCTCCCCCGAATAGCCGTTTTCCAAGCAAAGCCTGAAGCTGCCTATGGAAATGCCAGCTCCTGCCGCCATCTCTCCTACAGGGGATGCATGCTTTTTTTTTTTTTTTTTTTTTTTTCAATTTTCCAGAGTGTTCCAAACTTTTCCCAGGTTATTAGATACCATAACATCCTGTGGAAAACTGATTGAGGAATGTGACTAATCTCACAGGATGGAGAGCCTGGGGCCATGGGAGGTTTGCAGCCACTGGCCCTAGGATGAATCAGACCACAGGGGCAACAGGCTGTGAAGAGGCAGCAGGAGGCGGGCTGAGCACATCTTCCACGGGTTGAACATATCTGCCTTTTTCAAGCTCTTGCAGGGTACTTTTGCTGGCTCCTCTTCTTATTGTGAATGTGCCTCTCAGGATCATGAAAATTCTTAGAAATCCTAACAGTGGCAGCTTGCCCACATTGGTCCTTAATACCCAGACTCACTAACAAGATTTCTCCTGATGTCCAAAGAAGTTTTTAATGGTGTAAAGGAAAAGAGAGGAAAGGGGAAGCATCACCAAACAACATTTATCCACAGCAACTTCTGACCCTGGCGAATTTTCTGAAGAAAATATATCATTTGACTTAAAAACAATAAACATAGATAAAAAAAACAAATAAACACCATGTGTTATTGCTAATAGCAAGTGTCATTTTAACAGAAATGTCTTAGATGCAAACAGATGTTCAACACTTACAAAAAAAAAAAAAAAAACCAAGGCTCCAATGTAATTTTCTGACACTTTTCAACCTCTGCATAGGAGCACATGATCTGTGCTCAGTTATGGGACAGGGGCAGCTGGTGTAGAGATGCCAAAGGGGGTTGTGCTCTAAGCCAGGATGGGCACAGAGCACACATCTAAAACCACCAGATTCACTCACCCAAGTTCTTCACCATTAATGATATAGCCTTAAAAAAAAAAAAAAGAAGAAGAAGAAGACGACGATGATGACTGAGGTCAGTGCCCAAATCCCACTGATTTCCCGGAGTCTTAGTCTGTGATTAACCTCTGCGGGTTCCATTTAGGAGAGGGATGTGAGGATAACCTACGATCTCTATTATGACACTGACTAATATAGAGGAGAGAATGGAGGTTGAGTTTGGCTCCAGTAACCTGGCAACGCCTACAGGCATGCAGGCTCCAGAGCCAACCTGCAGCTTGGGTGCAAATCGCCACACCACTGCTTTGGAGCTGAGTCATAGGAAGAACCTGGGCAACCAGGGCAGAAAGCATTGTTCCAACTCTTCCTTAACTGTGCGATCTCCAACAGACTAACCATGCTGCCTCTCAGTTTCCTCCCTAGTAAAACAGGGTTGATAATGTCTTCCTCACAGTGTTGTTCTGAATATTAAATCAAAGCCCTGTTCCAGTGGTTGCTACGCAGCAGACGCTTGGGAAATGCTAGCTTTCTCCTTCTGCCCCACCACTTCTTGTTAGCAGTACTATGAAAAAAAGGAAGGTCTGTGCAGGATATAATGCTTTTTCTGTGTCGTTTCTTGGTCAAAACTAGCCCTGGTATTTGGAATGGTATGAGGAACAGGAAATTGACCTTTCTTGGTAGGTGAATCATTACCATAGGGTTTTAACAGCTAAGGAACGTCCCACTGTTAGATATATATGTAAGTGTCTCACAGATGTTCCCCTTCGACCAAATAAAGTCCTGAAGTCACAGAAGTATCAAACCTTAAAGTGGAAGGGACCATAGAGATAGGGACCAACTTACTTTTCCATTTGCCCTCTCTACCTCTCAGAAACACTATATGGTGAGGCCGTATCTGGTTATTTCCTAAGTGTACCTTGAACCTATCTTCATGATTCAGGTCTTTGCCACCCCACTTCTACCCAGAAATCATTTCCCCCATTTATCAACTAAGACAAACTTACCCTTCATCAAGGGCTAGGTAGGTTTTAAAAAACCAAAATCAAAACAAAGCAAAAAACGCCTTATATGCATTTCATGGTTTTTCTTAGCAGAGGTTTGATTTCTCTCCTCTGAATTTCTGGAGTTCCTACTACATTTGTATTGGTCAATTATAAAACACAAATACACTTGGATATTGCTCCCTTGACTTCTGGCTATTTGCGCCCCGTCTCCTCTCCCCTGCTGATCCCCATGCTCCTCAAGGACAGGCTCCTTACCTACCACTTCATTATACCATGGGTTCCTTAGCTCAGAAGCTGGCAAAACAGAGATTGGCTACATTGTTAATGATTAATTTGCATTAAATAATTAAAGTGTGCATTTATAGATGAACACTTAACTGCTAGAATCAAGTCTAATGACAGACTTTTCCTTTTTACAGTTGTGATCCACGTGGTTCAGTGATTTCTGATACCTACTTTTCTTTCCTAGAAATCATCACAAAACTGGGATAAAAGGCTAAGTATTGACTCTTCACTCCCGAGTGGCTTTGCTAGTCCTACAGATGAACTACCTCCAGCTCGTATCAAGGAAAGTCACATTTTGGAAGGACTGAGAAAGCTACAGAAGCGAAAAGTGCTACTTGAACCCCAATCGGTGATAACCAAATGGGGTTATAAAGATTGCATGAACTCCAATGAAGGGATATATTCTCCAGGAATTAAGAGCAGCAGCCTCAAGGACTATACCCCCTGCAAACCAGCTGACAGGAGGAGTCCCTGCAAGGAGTCCCACGAGACATTTGTTTATGACACAGATTCCCACGATGATGCCGATGAGGACTCTTCCTCCTTACCCTTGCTCCAGGCAGCTCCAAGCCGGGGCTGCAGGCTGCACAGTCGTAAATTAACCCACAGTGTTTCTGACAGCCTATTTGGCTGGGAGCCGAATAGAAAACACTTTTCAGAAGGCACATCCTCAGTTTACCCAAGGGAAAGGCCTGAAAAGCTGGCCAGTTGTGCCAGCAACTGCCCCTTGGAGAGGAAGCTGTGCCCGCATGCACAGACGCCTCAGGTACGGAGAGAGAGGGAGCCGTGTGACCCTGGTTCTGGCCATGTGGCTCTCAGTCTCCAGCTTTCAGACACCGATGACAATGAAGCCCTCGACGAGTTGCACATCGGTAGCAGTGACGAGAAAAGCCCTTCAGACTTGTCACTGACTGTCGACACTGACAAGTCCATGGAGAATCTGGACATCCTCATGGGACTTGGAAAATCTCAACATAGGTCTCCTGAAGAGGAGGAAAAACAAGTGCCCATCCCCTTAGAGAGTCGGCCAAAGACATTTAGCTTCATTAAGCAGCAGAGGGTTGTAAAAAGGACTTCTTCAGAAGAATGCATTACTGTCATCTTTGATGCCGAAGACGGCGAGCCCATTGAATTCAGCTCTCACCAGACAGGCGTTGTCACTGTTACCAGAAATGAGATTTCCATCAACCAAGCCCCTACTGGACCCAAGGCAGAACTCACTGAACTTTCACCTCAGGGAATTGCTCATTTACAGCCGGGAGCTGCTGCAAGAGACTACACTTTCCTAAAGAGACCTGAGGAGGAAACCAAGAAAAACATTCCAAAAGGTGACATAGATAACATTGCGGTGGCCCGCAATGGTTCCTTCAGCCCCAGGACAGTAACACAAAGTCCTCAGCGACAAAGACCGGGCAAACCAACATTGAATTTGTCATGCCAGAGTAGTTCTAGGTCTTCGGTGTCCATGGGTATCTATCAAAAGCAGAGTCTGACAAAAGTCCCTGCCAGGGGCAAGGCTTCACCTCAGAAGTCAAAAATAATGGAGCCTGAAGCCTCAGCAAGAGTCCCCTCCTCTGGCCCCGTGTCTCTTGAAAAATCTCCAGCCTTAGCTCCCGGGAAACTCTCGCGATTTAAGAAGACTGAGGGCCCAGCACCCCTTTTTGATTTACATACGGATTCACACATTCCAAAACACCCCAGCCAACTGCCTCATGGCTCCAAAATGTCCAGCAGAAAGGACTGGGTCCCGTGCTCCAAGAGTCAGATTCCAGCGTCACAGTTGCTGCCAAGGTCCCTCACTGAGCCTAGTGATAATGGAGAATCCCTGACGAGGGACAAACACTGTGACTCTGGGCCAGAGGCAGGGGTGAAGTCACCTTCCCCCCCACCCCCTCCAGACAGGTCAGGCTCCCTTCTCGTCAGGCCCAGTTACGACTATTTGCCACCACCCTCATCAGCCAAGCCTGAAACCAGGGTCCCCAGTGAAGCAGCAAGGACTATGTACAAATCCCCCCCTCTGAAAGGACCCTCTGCTCCTATTATTTCTTCTAATCAGATCCTGGCAGAAGTGCCGGGGAAGAAACCTTCTGTGGCCTTCAGAAAGCCTATCTTCACTCACCCTCCACCCTCCACAGAAACAGTGATTCAAACCAGATGTTCCACACATACCCCCTCTAGCTCCTTTGTTGTGATGGCCCCAGGGCCCCCAAAGGTCTCCCCAAAGAGAGGTGTCCCCAAAACTCCGCCTCACCAAATGCTTGGGACCACACAAATGGACACTGGGTTACGGACTCCCAAGAATTGTCCTTCAGCCCATGAGCCACTGGAAATCCTGTCCCCCAAAAGTGTGTCTCCAGGAAGAAAAGGACAGCTGAATGACTGTGTCCCCACATCACCTAAGCCTTCCTTCTTAGGGGTGAATGAGGCACCATCATCTCAGGTTAGCAGTCACTCATCATCACCGTCTTCCAAAAGCCATAACACCCCATATGGTTGTCCAAACGCTCATGAGAAAGGCCTGAAAACTCGCCTTCCAGTTGGGCTCAAGGTTCTCATGAAGTCTCCCCAGTTACTCAGGAAAAGTTCCACGGTGCCAGGGAAACATGAAAAAGACAGTCTGAATGAAGCCTCTAAAAGTTCGGTGGCTGGGAACAAGTCTAAGCCCGAGGACGCCGGGAATCCAGTGAGCCTGGAGACCGTAACAGATGAAAGAAATGTGACTCCACTGGGTTTTCAGGCACAAGACAGGCTGCCTGAAGGGATTCCCCTGGATACAGCAATGCCAGAGTCATTAGAAAACAGCATCCCTGGGGCTGATGGAAAAGATGGGGTAGAAAACAAGTCTGTGAAAAGATCCCTCTCCTCCAGTAAGCCACACCTAAAACCAGCCCTAGGCATGAATGGGGCCAAAGCCCGCAGTCAGAGTTTCAGCACTTACTCAGGAGACAAGCCCCCTACACCCCCCGTGGAAGGGCCCGGCAAAGTTCGAACTCAGATTATCACCAACACTGCTGAGAGAGGCAATTCCCTCACCCGGCAGAGTTCCTCCACGGAAGGCTTGCCCAAGACCCCTTCTGCCCCCATGTCTGATGGTCTTCCCGGTGCTGGGAGGCCTCTGGGGCATCCCTCCTCCAGGCAAGGCTCCCCCAGGAGTACAGGCAGCTCCAGCAGCCAGCATGGGAGCCCAAACAAGTTGCCTTTGAGAGTCCCTCCCAAATCCGAAGAGCTCCCCACCCCATGTGGAATGGAAGATGAGCAGGGTTACCCCGAGGGAGGGGACAGTGAGGCTGTCCCTGAGGAAGCAGGCAGCGGCCACCACAGATATCCACCTGCCCCCACAGACTGCCCACAAGCCCTGCAGAACCCTGGGAGGACACAGCATCCGGCCAATTTTGAACCCAGCAGGACATCCAAGCTGGAGACTTCTGGAAGGTGTCCAGATACTTCTACAACCAGGACTGGCGCTGTGAGCCCTGAAGCCCCCCTCTCACCTACAATTGAAGAAAAGGTCATGTTGTGCATTCAGGAAAATGTGGAAAAGGGCCAAGTGCAAACAAAGTCCCCCTCTGTAGAAGCAAAGCCAAAGCCTGGGCCTTCTTTTGCCAGCTGGTTTGGTTTTCGGAGTAGACTTCCAGCGCTCAGTAGCAGGAAAATGGATGTCTCCAAAACCAAAGTGGAAAAAAAAGATGCAAAAGGTTTGGGGTTTGGAAATAAACAACTAAAATTGGAAAAGAAAAAAGAGAAAAAGAAGCCTGAGCTGCAGCGTAAAATAGAAAATGAACTTACCAGGAACACCAAGGTGGCGGAGAGTCCAGACAGTAGTTTACGAAGCAAAAATGATCTGAAAACACCGCAAGGCATTTATGACCAAATGAAGTTTGAACCAAGAAATAGACCCAGCCCTGTTACATGTTCTACTAAAGATACATTTATGACGGAACTTTTGAACAGGTAACCTGTTGGCGAAGGGAGGGTGTGAAATGTCAGAGGGCTCCCCCCACCGAAACAAGGAGAGTTATTGACTTCCCACCCAGTAAACCCCAGTCAAGCATGTTTTCATACAAGCAGAAATGCAGAATAGCAGCCTTTTCTACATTAGCCAGAATTTAAACAATGAAATAAAAGTTAGCAATAAAATGATAATTTAGTCCATGTTACTTTGTTAACCAAACCAGTGGTCTTTGAAATTAAAGAATGGGAAGTTTTATCAAGGTTGATAGCAATTCAACCTATACTGGAACCGTGAATGTACCCACATGGCATGAAATGGAAGAAAATTATACATACATTTTAAGGTATGCCGACCTCATTGATTGTACCAAGCAAACGTATACTTAGAAACGTTACAGAGGTAATTACATTTCCCGCTGATCTTAAGCCAGACTTGTGTTTAGCAATCACTCTTCAGTGGCTTTTATTTTGCTCCCTCCTCCCCCCACCTCACAAGCAGTTAAAAAAATAAAAATAAAAATAAAAAAAGTTTTTGTCAAATCTAAACTGACACACTACTGGAATGTCAGATGAAGATTTGATCAAGGCCACTGACAAACATTTATCACTCAAAGGTTTAAAGACAAAGAGATACAAAGAGGTTACTTTAAACATTAAAGGATTGGAAAAAGTAGTGATTGAAGAAGAGCAATGTAATTTATCAGAGGAATCACTTTCTACCTGCAGAGTTGATAAGAAAGCAGCTCAACAGACAGAAAATGGATCAAATAATGTTTCCTGCAGGAGTGTGTTAAAGGGCAGCTCCCAGGGCTCCTGTCTCACCAGCATCTCTGCAAGCACTCAAGGAAACCACAAGAAAAACATCAAAACCAAGGTCGATGTGGAAATACTGAAAGGCTCCCTGGTAAGTGCTCCACCCATCTTGGTTCCGAAGTGAACCTGCCTGGGTTCTTTCTACCTTTGCTGATGGAAATGAATGAGCAAGAGATTGGGAAGGGTAGGAAAGTTCCAGAAAAAGGAGAGAAAGCTGGTGACGGCTTCCCGCCGAGAGGTGGCAGTGAGATTGCAAACGGGGCGCTCCATCTGGTAAGGCTGCTGTGTTAGCTCCCTTTCAGGAGGACGGTGGAACCAGACAGTGCTGGCAAATGACACTGTGATGTCAGCTGTCATCTTCAAATTCTACTCCTGTGCAGGGGATTTGTTTGATGACCTCTTCCTTCACTCCCAGTGATACAAAAAGGAAGGAACATGGTTATGAAAACCAGAAGTGCTAAACAACTAGAGAGATTATTGGCCATTTTGATGGTTCAGTTTAAGAACTGTTCATTTTTTTGGAAGTTCTGTCTATGTACCAATTCCTCTCACCTAGACAGGTGTTAAGGCCAAGAAATCTACTTTGCAACTTGACTCCCTATTATGCAGTCTCTTAATTGTGAGGTCCAGAACTCAGGTAATTTCCTTTAAAAAAAAAAAATGGGTGAAAGGGCATTTTCCATTTCCCTAGCACTTGCTAGTTTCAAATAATAGTTTTGTTTTAAAATTACCTTAAGTTGCACTGAATCTCCTTACATTCCTTCTGTTCTTGCATAATTGCTTTGGTGATGTTCATTATTTCTTTATGTAAGTTTTGAAGCACTTACATAAACAAAATATTCTTTTTACAGAATTACAGAATTACAGAATTTACAGAATTACCGTATCCATATATTTTTGTACTGCAATCAAAGAAATTGTAAAGTATGGTACCTGCTACCATTTTCTTAGGGAAACCTAGTAATTATACTTTTTTTTTTTCCCCTGGAGTGGTTTAGAGGTGATTTTAGGAATAACGATTGGCATTATTAGTTATTAAGAATTTCATAGACATATTTCAGTTGACAACAAATGCACACTTTTCTTTCAAAGAGCTCTGGACTCTGAGGAGCTGTAGTCTTTTATATTAAACTCAGAAATCCTGTGGGAACTATGTTCTTCACAAAAAATTTTTCTTCCCCCCCCTTTTCTCTTCTGGGCTTCCATGGTATCCTCCCTTCTTTGAAAACGTAGATGTCCCCTGCATTATAAAAATCACAAATTATAAGCATATCTAAGACTGCCCTTGTAGTGTCACCGAAAGGAAAGAGAGAGAATGAATGCTTGGAAATGTGCAATATGCCCAGAAATTCAATCCCACTGATCTAAAACTTTGATAGCCTGGCAGAGCCCCTTATCGGAGGCACTCAATTTAACTATGCCCCATTTAATATGTTTCTGACAGCTTAGGGTATATCTTCACTGCACAGAAGTACCAAAGAAACAAAAAGACCCTCTGTTTGGCTTTTACAGTTTCATTTTTACTTTCTTGTTACTTCCTAATGCTAAAATAATTTCTGTGCTTTTCGTCTCTCGTCTTCAGTCTTTCACAGTGTAGTAATAAGTGTCCTTTGGTCCTTTCAGAATATCTACAAGAAACACTCTTACTGTTTTCTCTAAAGTACAAAGATTCCCTAACCACCCCAAAATACATAATCAATTGGGATATGCTAATTTTTTCTAGTTAGCTACAAGAGGAAATTAGTCATGCTGGGAAGCTTTTCCATATAGAGGAATATTATTAACCTGGGTAGCTGACCAGCCAGTCTTTCTTTCTTTTTTTTTTTTTAATGTAAAATACAATGTTTTTTGTTTCATCTCTGTAATCATCAATGTGGAGTGGACGAAAATTACTAATTCCAGAGAGGACATTGCCATAGTCTCCTTTGGGACTAGTACATGACTAGCAGTGAAAACCTATTTATTATATGTTATCAGCTTACACAGGAAGTAAATTAGATGCAAAATAGGATATATTCTAATACCATAGCACATTGATGGGAATACCCATGAACCTCTTAGAATTCAGAGTTTGAGGGAATTTTCCGCTGCTAGGGCTCAAGGTAAATTTGCTGTCTGCTTATTTTAAACTATGTTGCAAAAGATTCTTCTCATTGTAGTCAGTTGGGATAAAAACAAGAACTGCACATAATACATATGGTATGTTTTTGTTTTTTTTTTTAATAAAGTCACTGTTCAAAATCTTATATCACCATCTCTTCCCTTTACAAACCAAGACTTTATTTCGTTATGAGGGTCCTCAGGGATTTTAATTATTTTAATCTGTGGTGATTATAATGCAAAGATTATTTCCATACATACAGCTATGTATGTAGCTGACCTCCATTTAGTCTGCTACTAATTCTGTATCCATATCCATTTTCAGGATTCCTAGATACATTTTAAAAAATGCGTAAAAGTCCCATTAATTCTTTGCAGAATTTAATTTTTTTCTCCTTTCAGAGCCTTAATTAGAGTCTTATGTCCCCATTTAGGCCATCATTTACAGACCACTTAGCTCTAATTTTTGTGTAATTTAGACAAGGGCCATGTTACTTTGTACTTTTACTTGAATTATATAAAATCATTATAAGAGGGGGAAAGGCATCCCCAGGAAAGACTGCATTGGTATTAAGTAAATAATCAAGAAAGAAATGCATTCTATTGCAGCATGTCATAAGTCCTTCCTTCCTGTGGATTCAGATAATTTTGTGGAATGAGAAGTCTCAAGGGAAGGCAGCTCCAGACTCCTGTTTAACTATCACTGGACAAAATAAAAATTGTTAACAAAATTAACAAGATCGTATACTTTCATCATGCTCTGGGAAGAGATGGCCTTTTCAATATTTTAATTTAGAGTATTTTTTTCTCCCAGCGTCCCATAGTCTGAAAAAGAAAACCACGTATGCTAATAAAAAAGCATCAAATACTATTCCATTAAAATGGTACTGTGGTGATGAAATAGGATAAAATAGTACAATAATTACGCAAATTGTTATCATCTTATTAAGTTCTGCAAAATGTTATAATTTCAGCATCCTTAATTGAACAGTTCTGTTCTAAGTGCTATTTTGATGCTAATAAGAAGCATGCATATTTTGCCCTCCTCCTGCAAATTTTTCTAAATGACTAACTTTTCTAAAAGTAATGCCTTCTGGAGTTTTCCTTCCAAAAATTACTGCCTGTCTCACTTAGGTTCATTGTGTTCTTTTCATTTGCAATAAACTTCGACTGCAAAATGTTGTCTTCTTGGGAAGCAGTTCCCAAGCAGTTCAGTTAGGATGAGTCAAGGAAGAAATGTAAGCAGAATTTCAAATGAAAGGTGTCCCCAAATGTTGGATTTAATTCTAAAAGTAATATATAATGTAATATATATATAATGTACATACATACATAATATATAATGTACATACATACATAATATATATATGTTATATGTACGTTGCGTGTGTGTGCATATATATATATATATATATACACATATATATATGGTGAATTATTTTGTCCATTTTCCTCCAGGTTCCTTTGTAAGCTCCTTCCTCCCTGTGCTTTCTAATAATAGGGGTTAGTAGAATATAATGGGCACAGTGACATTTAATGGTTTCTTGTTAGAGATCAGTATTTGGTACCATTTTTGACTACAAGGGCAGAGCCCAAAAGATGGACAAGAGTTGAAAATGCACCATTACAAGGCACCCAAAGTACTGACAATAAACTTAAACCAAAAATAGCCAAGAGTTGTTGCCTGAGTTACCTGCAACTTCTTACCAAATAGGATATTGCTTGACATTAATTTGTATCAGTTCCTGTTAGAACAATGGCCGAGAAAATTCTGTATCTGTAACCACCATTCTTTTCTGAGCCAAACTTCTTGATTTTGTGAAAACTCTCATCTTTGAAGTACTTTGTCTCATGAAGATTGTCCCAGTTGTCTCTATCTTTGGCAAGTTCTTAATCTTGAGTTGCCAGCCCCTTAGTCCCAGGAAAGTTCCCACAACCTCTCACCAATACCCAGCCACTGCGTGATCAAGAGTGAAAATTAATTTTAAGTTCAGCCTGTGAAAAATGTAAATAGTAAGGGGAATCAACTGTCAAAATAAATTATGCCCCTCATTTCCATAGGCAAACGGATTTCTTTAATAACCGCCTTGCATTGAAATCTATTTGGATAGATAATTAGAGCCAACAAGTATGCCATTCTAAGGCACTCCCCCATTTGTCATTCCTTTGCTGATTTTTCACCTATCTTCTTCGGATTTTCCTGTCATGGGTCATCTGCTCCTCATGGGTCATCAGCCCAGGAAACCTGAATGAATTAGGGGCCTTTCCTCTGATAAGTCCCCAGAGGCCATATTTAGCATTTGCTGTTAAGCAAATAGAGCCCTAGGAAAGTTCTGACAAGCAGCTGACAGGTAGGACTATAGGACAGCTTTTTTTTTTTTTTTCTTTCCTCAATATGATACTCGGAGAAAGGTGGTAGTTAAGTTCCACATACAGATTAGGGAACCAGAAGGGAAGGGAAGCAGAGAATTTAAACACACACACACACACACACACACACACACACACACACAGTCTCTGAAAATTTTTGCTACTCTTGAATAAAAATAAAATTTATGTATACATGGAATACTGCCTACATATCTAACTGCCAGACACTAACAGAAAATAGTAGTTCTTTGGAAGGTCTGGGAAGGAGGGCTGTAACAATGACTCTGAAAAATTTAATTTTGGCAGTGAATAGGGGCCAGAAATGCCCACTCTAAAACCGAAATCCTCTGTGACCTTGAAAAGATCATTAACACTATATGAGCCTCCTATCCTTTATCTGCAAGGTGAGAATCTGATTTTAACTATTGGATTCTTTAGTTTAGAGCCTCACAGACTGATAGGATGATTCCCCGATAAGCCAGCAGGTGAGCAGGGGATACCTTCAAGTTTAAAATAGATCACTGTTGGGCGCCTGGGTGGCTCGGTGGGTTAGGCCTCTGCCTTTGGCTCAGGTCATGATCTCAGGGTCCTGGGATCGAGTCCCACATCGGGCTCCCTGCTTTGTGAGGGGCCTGCTTCCTCCTCTCTCTTTCTCTCTCTTCCTGCCTCTCTGCCTACTTGTGATCTCTGTCAAATAAATAAATAAAATCTTTAAAAAAAAATAGATCAGTGTAGAAGAACCTAAAGGAAATACTGTTTTACATAACAGGTAAGAGAAAACATGAGACATGTATGGGCTGAGAATATAGAGATTTCCTTGATGTCTCTCTAAATGAGGATGGAAGTTTCATGTTGGGTTGTTAAAGGAAATGTAGGTAGTTTGAGATCCCTTTGTCGGTGGGTCTTTTGATAGCCTTGTGACAAACAGGTCACTGAGCTACACAAACTTTAGAAGGCAATTAAGTAGGATGTTAGCCTTGCTCATGCTCACAGTGCTTTTCTACTCTGCTATCCATAAATGTCCACTACCAAAGTGTCCACAGACTTGATGAAGCCTCCCCCCACCCTTGCCCCGTTCCCCAACTTTCTTCCTCTGGACGTGCTAAAAAACAGGGAAGTGCCCGCAGAGCAGAGAGCTGATGGGGGGAAGAAGTGATGAATGTGACCTCTGGATATTCAATCCTTGGTCTCTCCTTGTGGGGTTCAGGATGCCTTCTCCATACTCTCTTCAGTCTGCCACCTTCTGGCTCTCAGCACATCCAGAACAAGCACCAATTACATTCTGATATTGGAACAGAAGTTATAAAATATAAATAATTGGTCTTATTCCATTAGATATGAAAAATAGGTAAAAAGTCAAAAGCTAAATCTAGCTCAAGGTCAGTATGCAACCATATGAATTTCTATATTGTGAGTATGAAATAAGAGTTTCTTGGCATTCAGCTCAAGCTCCTGAGCATATCCACTGACGGCCTCTAATGTATGTGCCGAAGCAGAACCCCACTGCATTCAGTGCACAGTTCATGTCATTATCACTGGCTTCCCAGGTGACTGATGAGGATGTATTTTAAGAGAGTGTTTTAGGGTCATTCTGCCAACAACCGCAAGCTGTCTTGAAATTGAGGCCAAGTCCACTGGCATAGTCAAAGGAAAATTTGAGAAAAACAAAGTGCCCACAGATGAACACAAATCTGCAGTCAGTTTTGCTGAGTTTGAATCCTGGTTCCACCACCTTGGCAATTACTTATCTGTTTCTTCAGGAGGAGGAGGCTAACAGTAGCATCTAGCTCGCTCTGGGGAGTTTGAGATCACAGGCATGAAAATTGTAACTGAGTAATCCGTAGTATTTCAGAGATTGCCTTTTAAATAGTGGTTCGTACTGGTTGCCATTGTTGCGACCACTGCCACTAGATTGAGAAGCAAGGGACATGAGTCTTAATCCCAGCACTTGCACTTACAGTGCGTTGAAGGAAACTTGCTGGAGATCAGAATTCTCATTCATAAAACACTGTGACTTATTCAGGTTTCTCTAGAGTTCTGCCGAGTGCTAACCCATTCAGCATCTGGATATTTCAGCTGAAATAGAAGGGGAATGTTTTTGACCTAAAAAATCAATATAAATGTGTCACTGCTCTAGTTCACTAAGTATACATCACAGTCACCTTATGTTTCATCATAGAAAGAACAAAAGAAATCATTTTCTTAAAGAGTTACATTCCAGGAAAGGGTCAGGAGATCTAAGTATATTTCTTTCTTCTTATTAAAATAACTTGTGGTAGAAGTCACTGTCTCTGGAGGAATTATATTTCCTTTGACTTTAATTTTACCTAACAGCTTTGTGTTATTGACTTTATTAAGTCTTAAAAGCCAAAGCTGTATCTTTAACATCTTATGGAGAATTAGGTGCCCTGTAAATCCTCATTTCCAGGTCTAGGGTTATGTTTCTGAAAATATACTCTTGCTCTAGTAATTAAAATTTGTGATACAGCCAAGTGATAGAGTAGGGAAAAGTAGAATGAAGAAAATATCTATGCATGTATATATATATCTATGGGTGTGTACACATAGATGCACACACATACACATTCACATATATGTATGTACAGGTATGCATGTTTACATGTATGTGTGTGTATACATGTGTGTTGTGTGTGTATACATACCCACTCACACATACTCACATTTATTACAGAATGAAACATCATTCTGATTGTGAACAGTCAATTTATATAACAAATAAGAACTTACATTATTTTCTTGTTGCTGCAGATAAAAGAAGCAAGTGTGAGCCTACAGGAGGATGAAGATACAGTTGCAGATTCCACATTTCAGAGCCACATCATAGGTAAACATTTACATCTTGGTACATCTTTATGGGTGATACTTTCTGAACGTGACCTTCTTTCAGACACAGTGTGTTCCTATAGAGCGTGTCTCACACCTAGCCTCTATGAGGACTGGGTCTTAACTTCTTCTTTTTTTTAATATATTATTTATTTATTTGAGAGAGAGAGAGAGAGAGCACAGGGGGAGGGAGGGAGAGGGAGAAAGAGAGAATCTCAGGCAGACACCACGCCCAGTGTGGAGTCCTGCATGGGGCTCCAGCTCACGGCCCTGCGGTCATGGCCTGAGCCAAAACCAAGAGTCAGACGCTGAACCTACTGCACCACCCATGCGCCCCGAGGACTGGGTCTTAACTTCTCACACATGGTTATTTTTATCTTCTCGAACATTGGAAGCTACTGTAAAGTAAGTAGTTCAAAACCAGACCCGTCAAGAAAACATCAGTGTTTTCAAAGCAACACACTGCAAAACGACGAGAAGCAAGTCCTTGTGGACATGAAAGGAGAATAACACTGAGGATACATAACTTCTCTGGGGACAGCAGTCGACTTCGAGTCCATCCGGTGTCTATAATTATCTCAGGAAGCATTTACCTAACTACCATTGGTTAGAAATGAGAGACGGTAGCTTTCTTAAATTGAACTTTTTTTTTTTTTAATAGAGTGTGTTTTTTTTTAATAGAGTGTCTTTTGGGAGAACCCTGAGTGTGATAGTCCTGTTTCTGGAATAAGTTTGATTTGTCAACTCCTTCTTGAAATTGTGCATCAGCCTAGACTGAAGGGACTCAGCTTCCCAACACAGAGCGACTTGCTGACCCTTTGCTGACCTGTTTTCAGCAGCCAGGAGGCAGCTGGTGACAGAGTAGTTGTCTGTGACTGTGATCCTTGTCAGGTGACGGAAGAGGTGATACCTTCAGCTGTTCTGGGCCACCGTGGATGGTTGCAGAATTTGTTTTTCCTCGGGCTCTAGGAATTGCTGTGCGTGGAAGCATGCTGATTATTTAGTATTGCACAGGACACCGAGGCATGCTGGAGTAATTTCTACCAATCACATTCGGTATAGCAGTTAATAGTGAGTTCCACATTGGAGGTCATGACAGCCCCCTCCTCCCCCAGATGCTTAAATTGGTATCAGTTGTGTGTCATTAGCTGATATGCAAGTTAAATACGGTTTAAAAACCTTCAAACATGACACTATGTAAAGCCCCACTGAATCATCATTTTTCCATAATGAGGTGTTCCTGGGCCTATGAAATAACATATATAAAGTTAGAGGCTGCGTGTTTTTCAAAAGAACTACAGTAATCTATCCTTTAATAGACTTCCAGTTTTTTTTAGATTTGCATTGTTTGATAGCTAGTAGACATAAGTGGCTATTTCAGGTTCAGTTTCAATTAATTAAAACTATATATAATTAAAAATTCAGTCCTCCATTTGCACTAGCCACGTTTCAAGTACTCAGTGACCACGTATTCATGGTAGCCTATATGAACATTTCCATCGTCACACAAAGTTCCCTTGGAAAGTGCTGCTTTCGATTACTCTCAGGGAAGTAAATTTGGACCATGTTTCTGACAGCGAGCTGACTTGGTCTGCACACAATGTAGATTTATCTCCTCAAACTAGGGGAGAACTATATGATAAGCTGCTGTTGTCTACACGTGAAACAACAACGACAAAGCTGACCAGCCATTTTACGTAAGTAATGAAGTCATTTAATCATCTTACACAATTAAAAATCTGGAGGAAGGTAAATATGAAAGAAGGCTAGTAGCTCAATGATGTCATCAAAAGCCCTGGCTTTATGTCCTCATCTCTGTTGTCTTTGGTTACAAATTGATTCCTGACACTCCAGGCATTCCATTTACATTCAAGGCACAAAGTATAAGGAAGAATAAGAGTTCCTTCAGAATCCACCCCACAGACTCCATTTTTCATGGCATTGATGAGAACAAGATCATGAAACCAATCCTAGCTGTAAAGGAGGCTGGGGAAGTTCGTATGTTGCTTCTATTTATTGCATGAGATAGCAGGGAGAATGTGGTTGAGAATATTCCCTAGGTTAACCAGTGAATAAGATCACCACAGCCAACCTTCTAAAACTTCATCCGTTTCTTTCTTTTTTTTTTTTTAAGATTTATTTATTTATTTATTTGACACAGAGACAGAGACAGAGATCACAAGTAAGCAGAGAGGCAGGCAGAAGCAGAGAGGGAAGCAGGCTCCCCTGCTGAGCAGAGAGCCTGACACAGGACCCTGAGGTCATGACCTGAGACGAAGGCAGAGGATTAACCCACTGAGCCACCCAGGGGCCCCAAACTTCATCCATTTCAAGATTGAATGAGGCTCAATAGATCAAGTGGTTATTTCTTTTTATTCCAGAAGAACGGCTGAGAATATATTTTTAGCACCCTGATAAACCAATATTCTTCATTTTGTCTAAACAAAGTGTTGTCACATAGCCTCACAATATTATATAACCATAGAATGTTTTTCCGCTCACAGTAACTGAGCAAATCTAAGTATATTATGCTTCTAACCAAATATCAGCTAATGTCTGTCACAAAAAAGAATAATCAGAAAATCTGTGACCTGAATGTTTGCATTTCTGTAGTTAAGGATAATCACGTTGGTTTAATCAAGGTGTTATGAGTTGATTATAAGACAAGATATTGTTAACTAAGCCTGCTCTATGTTGAAATTCAAGATTCATGAATTAAGTAAAATAATACAACTAATTTTTTTCTTTAAAATCACCCTAATAAATGTCAGACTTCAATGTTAATAAGCAGCAAGAAAATGACTAGCCTAGCCTAATAGAAATCTTAACACAAATGATCACAAACCCCATATTTCTAATTGTTCTTTCCTGCTATTTAACTGTAATAGGTTAACCCTACATATTATATTAATTATCTAATAGGATTAAATGATCAGTGGGAATTAATTCAAATAATACTTTCTTATTAAAAACACCAGCCAGGGAGGAGTCAAGATGGCGGAGAAGTAGCAGGCTGAGACTACTTCAGGTAGCAGGAGATCAGCTAGATAGCTTATCTAAAGATTGCAAACACCTACAAATCCAACGGGAGATCGAAGAGAAGAAGAACAGCAATTCTAGAAACAGAAAATCAACCACTTTCTGAAAGGTAGGACTGGCGGAGAAGTGAATCCAAAGCGACGGGAAGATAGACCGCGGGGGGAGGGGCCAGCTCCCGGCAAGCAGCGGAGCAACGGAGCACAAAATCAGGACTTTTAAAAGTCTGTTCCACTGAGGGACATCGCTCCAGAGGCTTAACCGGGGTGAAGCCCACGCGGGGTCAGCGTGGCCTCAGGTCCCGCAGGGTCACGGAAGGATCGGGGGCGTCTGAGTGTCGCAGAGCTTACAGGTATTAGAACGGGGAAGCCGGCTACAGAGACAGAGCCGAGGAGTAAGCTCTAAGCTTGGGGTTACCTTGAGCCGGTCGCAGGCTCGGTCAGCTCGGAGTGCGGCCAGAGGCCAGGGTGACGGGAGTAATTGGGCGCTGTTCTCTGAGGGCGCACTGAGGAGTGGGGCCCCGGGCTCTCGGCTCCTCCGGGCCGGAGACCAGGAGGCCGCCATCTTCATTCCCGCCCTCCGGAACTCTACGGAAAGCGCTCAGGGAACAAAAGCTCCCGAAAGCAAACCCAATCGGATTACTCAGACCGGCCCAGGTAAGGGCGGTGCAACTCCGCCTGGGGCAAAGACACTTGAGAATCACTACAACAGGCCCCTCCCCCAGAAGAGCAACAAGAAACCCAGCCAGGACCAAGTTTACCTACCAAGGAGTGCAGTTTCAATACCAAGGAGAGCAGCGGAATTCCAGAGGAGGAGAAAGCAAAGCACGGAACTCATGGCTTTCTCCCCATGATTCTTTAGCCTTGCAGTTAACTTAATTTTTTTTTTCTTTTTCAATTTTTTTTTCTTCTGCTAAATTTTTTTAACTTTTACCCTTTTCTTTTTTAACGTTTTTTAACTAGTTTATCTAATATATATATATTTTTTCCTTTTTATTTTTTTTCTTTATTGGTTTTCTTTTTTTAATTGTTTCTTTTTTTTTTTTTTTTCTTTCTGAACCTCTTTTTATCCCCTTTCTCCCCCCTCACGATTTGGGATCTCTTCTGATTTGGCTAAAGCATATTTTCCTGGGGTTGTTGCCACCTTTTAGTATTTTACTTGCTCCTTCATATACACTTATCTGGACAAAATGACAAGGCGGAAAAATTCACCACAAAAAAAAGAACAAGAGGCAGTACCAAAGGCTAGGGACCTAATCAATACAGACATTGGTAATATGTCAGATCTAGAGTTCAGAATGACGATTCTCAAGGTTCTAGCCGGGCTTGAAAAAGGCATGGAAGATATTAGAGAAAGCCTCTCGGGAGATATAAAAGCCCTTTCTGGAGAAATAAAAGAACTAAAATCTAACCAACTTGAAATCAAAAAAGCTATTAATGAGGTGCAATAAAAAATGGAGGCTCTGACTGCTAGGATAAATGCGGCAGAAGAAAGAATTAGTGATATAGAAGACCAAATGACAGAGAATAAAGAAGCTGAGCAAAAGAGGGACAAACAGCTACTGGACCACGAGGGGAGAATTCGAGAGATGAGTGACACCATAAGACGAAACAACATTAGAATAATTGGGATTCCAGAAGAAGAGGAAACAGAGAGGAGATCAGAAGGTATATTGGAGAGAATTATTGGAGAGAATTTCCCCAATATGGCAAAGGGAACAAGCATCAAAATCCAGGAGGTTCAGAGAACCCCCCTCAAAATCAATAAGAATAGGTTCACACCCCGTCACCTAATAGTAAAACTTACAAGTCTTAGTACAAAGAGAAGATCCTGAAAGCAGCCCGGGAAAAGAAGTCTGTAAAGTACAATGGTAAAAATATTAGATTGGCAGCAGACTTATCCACAGAGACCTGGCAGGCCAGAAAGAGCTGGCATGATATATTCAGAGTACTAAATGAGAAAAAC